TGTTATATTATGTTATCGCCACCCCACGTCCAACATATTCACAAGGGAAATTATACTTCAACGAAGGTGACAATGACTGTGAAAAAGAATTTTAAAAAAGTATTAAACTATCTAAAAAGAAAAAAGGTGGTTTGAAGGCACGGATTAGAGTGTCTATCCACGAGAAGCCCTTAAGAACGAAAACGACGACAGCCGCAAAAAAAAAAAAAAAAAAAAAAAATTCGCAACGAATCTTTCAATAATTCAGTGTAAAAATAATATAAACAAGGACGCAAACACGAACAACGAACTGTTGTGAGTATAGCTTGGAGGTTAATATATAGGGTTTCATACTAGAAATTAATGAGTGTTCATTGTCGATTTCTTTTTGCTTTTCATTATAAAAATTAAAATTAGGAAGAAATGCATAACTTCCAAAAATCAACTACAAAATAAGTAAAATCAACGATACCCTCAAAGTTGAAACTTTCAAGTGAACTACAAGGAGCAAATACGAATTTATCACTCAATGTCAGTGTAAATTTGAATTTATTCATATCTTACACCATAAAACATGAATGAGCTTTAATTTTAGCTGTGGTAGTTTTTTTCAAAAGTAAAAATGTTTAGTGGTATTTTTGTTGTGATAATTTCCTTTTCTGAAGATTTTTTACGTCAATAAGAGAAACAAGAAGGGGAAAGAAACAGAGAAAAAGGAAGAGAAAGTGAGAGAAAGGAAGAAAAGGAAAAAAATAATGTGAATGAAACAGAGAGAAATAAGCTGAAAGAAAGGCAAAGAAAACAGAGGGTGAATTGCAAAGAGGTAAAAAGTTTACAATCCACAATAAATTTGACAAGTGACAAAATCCCGCAATTCATGCCGTCATTTAAATATTCTAAAACCAAAATAAATAATGAAACGCCATCAACAAGAAACGAGTAAAGACTTTATATTTCTCCTAAAATGGAAAAAACCAACAGTTAGCCATTTCCCCAGTGAAAAGAGTGCTTGTTACAACAACAATCACCATAAATCGTCGTCGTTGTAATGTACTTAATCCTAATAATAGCGGGGAAAGAAGTAGCTTTCTTGAGAAGCCAGTGGCAAGGATTAAAAAAAGTTGTCTTTATGTTTTGGAGTTTGTGAGAGGAATTTTGAGTCATGGAATGTCAGTCGACCAGCAGCATGAATTACTACAACTAACACTATCACTAATGTTGCTGCTACTACTACTACTACTACTACTACTAATAATAATAATAATAATAATAATTATTATTATTATTTTCTTAGAAGAAAACAATGCTAACTAATCCAATTTTCGCCTGCATATCAACCAAACACGAAAGCACTCACGGAGAGAGAGGGAAATGTAAAAGAGAGAATGTGTGTGTTTATACAAGAGAAGGAGAAAGAGGGCATTATTCTAAATAAAAAGTAAACAATTTTTAAAACCTTATCTTTCCCCTCTTCCTCAGGACAAACGAGTGAGTGCACACGAGTTCATACTTTACCTCACGTATGTCAAGCACATGGTTGCATTACTCAAATTGAAGGAAGTGGATATTGAGAAATGATACTTCTCTCGTTCCACTAATATATATATATATATATATATATATATATATATATATATATAAATATACACACACACACACATATATATATATATATACATATATTGATGCATGTTTCATTAAATAATACAGACAAGTGTTGTCTATTTATTTTATGTAAATTCTTTTCATATTGTCTGATAAGCTTAATAACATTATCATTAAACGAAGAAAGAAAATCACAATATTGATACATATTTTTTAATCCTATCTAAGCTTTCGGCTTACATAAGCCATTATCAAAGATGACAATTACATTACAATATATTAAGCAATACACGGAAAAAACAGTGATGATAGTCTATTTCTGTTTACATGGAAGATTTCCAAGCAACGACAAACTCGTGCATAGAAGACGCTGGAAGCGAAAATCGCACCACATCTCATGACGTCATATACATATTTAATACCTGTGTTGTATTACATCTAGCACTGTTTTATTAACACCAGCACCATATATGCATTGCATTGTATTATATATTGTATTATATATATATATATATATATATATATATATATATATATATATATATATATATATATATATATGTAGGGAAATTTGTCCCGGCTTTCCCACATACAAGGGTTGACGTTAAATGTGACAGAATTGATAAAAGCATTCTTCGATATAGATTTTAAAGTGTTAATATGGGGGAAGAGAGAATGGGGGAGAAAGATATGGAAATATATGTCTAGAGTAAGATTCAAAAATATAGATTTTAACACAGGGTTTTAATATCCCCCATATTAAAACCCTATCTTAAAATCTATACTTTACATTATATATCTTAAAATCTATATTTTATATTATATATATTATATTATAGTGTCGTCTGCATAGATTCATACTTGGGAATTGATGACCTCAGGAAGATCGTTGGCTGGTATTTCTTTTTGCTTTAAATAATCATTATTCAAATTCGTCGGCAGAGAATTTTACTATGAATTTGAAATGATTTTATATGACAACAAACTTTCATAAATGATAAAAAGAAACTTAAAAAACATCAACAGTTAATTCACATAACACAATCTGTGGAGTTTACGTCAGTATTTCATATAAAATAATGTCTTCAAATTATGTACGATTCACTGGTGGCTGATTATTTTGCTATGTGGGGTGTCATTGGATGTACGGGTGGATGTAAGTGTGGATGTAGGGTTGAGACCCGTTATGTTATGTACACTAGAACAAATCATCTCCATTTGTTACGTATTCTATGAAGAAGCAAGTTCCATTCGGATAGCTTCTTACCAAGAACCGTTACTTTATAGGACATACTCTCGACAGGATGCCTCCCCAATTGCTACAAACTTAACCTCTTCCAGTCTAGGGCCAATCATTATCTTTCCTGTATAATCTGCACTTCTTACCTCCTAGTACTAATACTCTTACGTTCATACAACCTATATCTTGAGTGATTCTCGGGCCTTGTTTTGCGCAAGGAAAAGTTTAAATTCAAATTTGAGCCATGCTGTTTGGAGACTTCGTGGCACACTGTACCCAATTTCGCTGTTACATGTCTTGGCAAGTTTGACAAGTTCTATAATCAAGTATCTATAATCTTGCGGGTTAACCCCAAACTTCTGCTAGGCTCTCAAAAGTCGAAATCAACAGAAGAGTGCATTCCAGTAAATTTCATATTTGTTTGAATAATGACTGCAAGGACACACATGAATTACTGCACACGAAATACTAAACGTCGTATAAAAAAGCCTTTCCAATGATTAATTTAAACATTCAATTCCTTCTAGACCTACTTGCTTACTAGTTGGAATCTACTGAGGACTTTATTCATTTTGAAAGATAAACACAAATTTTAAAAAAATCTTCACGTTAAAATAAATACATCTGCAAAGTTTACGATTCACAACCAAAACAAAAACAAAATGTATTTTATGTTTTGATAAGCATTTATTTATTTTTTACATTATTATTTATTACATTTATTTATTATTTATTTATTATTTATTATGTTTTGATAAGCATTTATTTATTATCACTGGTGCGTATTGTTTGATGTGTGCAACAGGCGTAAGCCAGACGCAAAATGACAATATTCATCGTAATGAATTGGTATTATTTAAATTTTAATAACATGACGTTTTCTTGATTTTATTTGCATTAATTTTGGTTAGGTCATGAAATTTCCACCCGGAGCCACGAAACCTTCAATGATCCTCGGTACTCGATTGTTACCAGGTAACGACAAAAGTCATTTCTGTAAACCTACAGACGTCGAAGTCGCATCAAACGGGGATTTCTTTGTCGCTGATGGGTGAGTAACAACTCTGATAAGGAAGATTATTTGCGTTCTTATGACCGTGGACCCGTGTGTCAATAAATCTGTCACCTGATACGTAGTTACTGGAAAAAGTTTGATCTGAATTTTGTACTGTATAATGTTTAATCCATATTATTTTTATTCACCATTGTGTTAAATGCAGTGAAAAGAAAGGAAATTATTTAGGAAATATTTTGTTGTGTAAAAAATTGTTGAAGCATAATGTGGCGGATTTATTGACGTACCTACGTATGTTTGAATCGAATCAATGTCTAAAAACTTTAAACAAATCTGAGTTCAGTTTGACTTCCATAATTTTTATTAGGTTTCTGTGTTTATTTAATATATTCCTTTACAATATTCAAAAATCTAGTGAGTCCCTTGTCTTAATCAATTTTTGTTTAGTTTTAAAATATGTTTTGCTGTGAAAATGCAGCCGATTTCTTTTCAATTAAAAATCATCACATTTACTTTTGTGCGACACGCAAAGACATAAAAAGAGACACATAAATATTTATTATTTTATGTAAGTACATATCTGAACATGATTCATTCAGATTTTTTTTTTAATTCTGTGAATTGATTTTCTAATCAGTTTACAGAAAGACTGAAGAAAGTACCTTGAAATATTTTAGGCAAATGCAGTCATTTCTGCCGAATAGCATTAAAGGTAAAATATTTTGATGTGATGACCTCTGTTTCATTATTGTTTAACAGTCACTGTTTCTCTCTTGCACTCACCCTCTCTTGCAAATATGAAAACGGTGAAGAATTTAAATGTGGCGTCATGTACATAAGTGCACTTAGTTTAAGGAAACATAGATTTATACATTCAATTAACCTGCGAGTTTCTCTTAATTTTGGATAAAATGTGATAAAAACCAGGTGCGTCACTCAGGTTTGCTGCTTTTAACTTGATTACAATATGTGCGTGATTACTGATTTTTTGGTAAAATTTTCAGTCATTCACCATCGTGTGACCCAGTAAGACTTATACGATTGCAGGTTTAATGAGTTTTAAACAATGGCGCGCGCTCAATATAAGTTCAATATAAGCAGGTTTCATGTCACAGAGATGTAGTCTTTCTGTTCAATTAAAATTGAAACAACATCGGATTATGAGCCTTCGAGTAGCTGAGTGGTTATTTCGAAGAATTGACAGACATGTTGAGCGTGATGCTCAGGTGGTACTTCCATGATAGTAACAAATAAACATCCTTAGACTCGTCTATATCTCTGAGATGAGGTATTATGATTACTTGCATTATTTACATTATTCGGACTGTTATCCTCATCTTCATTTCCATATTCACAACGTTTCGGCCGTTGTGCGCTCCGGCATTCTTGGAATCGAACCCTTTATTTCGTCCACCGGGTAGATTGTTCTAGTTCCACGTGCTATGCCTCTTCCGGATGTCTCAGTTATTTTAATCTCCAAGTTTTGGTTCACCACTGCTGTGGCCTTGTATTCAACACAACTCTTTGGGTCTAGTCACTGGATCTAACCAACGTCTTTATCCACTGGGTCATGTGTCCTTGGGAACAATGTAAATAATGCAAGTATTCTTATACCCGTCGACAAGGTTCTAAATGGACATGTAGTATAGACGCTTGTCAAGATTAATGCATTGCTAGAGCAGTAGCGGCACAGGGTACGGCGCTCACAGCACAGATCAGAATAAATATGACACAAGAAGTGTCAACCCGGGCTGTTGGAAATCGTTTGCTTACAGTAGGCCTACAGGCAAGTGTGCCTATAGCCAGACGATCACTTAAGCCACAACACTGTCGTTCACGTCATCAGTGGGGGCGCGTGAGGATCACATGAAGTATCGATTCATAACTAACAGCATGAATCAAAATACCTACGCATAACTCCGTTGATTGACTAAAAAACAATTCTTACTTAATCTCTGATTACATTGATTAAAACAAATGAAAAATAAGGAACAACTATGAACCTACAAATAAAGAACTGGACAATATTTGAAAGCCCAGTCAAACAAAATTTTAAATTGACTTTCGTCTCCCGAGTTGTCTAGCTTATTTTAAATGTCACCCCGCAAATCGCAAGTAGCGAAAGTGAAAATTTATTAATGCTAGACCATCAAATGTCCAGGCTAGCAACTTTGGTGAGGAGCAAATCGATAAACCATTGACAAGATCGCCTGACAAAAATCCCAGTCACTAACATCGAATGTAATCGATTAGTTTTAAAGTGAAATAGAAAAACATGAAATACGGGGGTGACATGTGTGTGTACGCACACACACATACATATGTATACAGCACATCACTCAACACTTCAAATTCACACAGATACGATGAGATATTTATTGTTCATTTGTTTTTTGCTTGGTCCTCCGTTAAAATTTCAATTAAAAAAATTCTATCAAACTTAGGGTAGACCAACAACCCTTATATTTATTAAGGAACTTATTCAACAACTAAATGAAAGTTGTGCTTATTTGATGTTGACATTTTATAATTTCTTTTCATTTGCAGATATTGTAACAGTCGTGTTGTGAAATTCGCTAAGAATGGCACAGTTCTGTCTTACATTGGCGAGACGTGTAAGTGTGGTTTAATTATTTCCTGCGTTCTTTTTGGTCGATACCATTTCGCTGGTAAAAGTGACAATGGAAATACCCTCTTAATAAACATTAACTTTTTATTTTCCCCATCCAATGTGTCAACATAAGGAACAGCTTCAAACTGAATGCCATTTTTGTGGACGGAGAAACAACGTTTATTAAGTAGACAAAAGTAAACAAAAATTGCACACCAGGAACCAGTGTTGCTTTAACGATTCTTTATTTTAAAACTCGATTGAAAATTTCGTATCAGTGGATATAACTTCAACTTGTTGTAATTATTAGCAAATTTATTGTTTCATCAATTACGACATAGTAGTGAGTTCGATCCTCACTGAGTACCCCATGTTGCTGACTTGTTCCACATATAATCTAAACTATAACTTATCAAAACCATTTAAAAATTTCGCTTTGTTTCAGCGCAACTGAAAGTGGTTCACAGTATTGCTTTGGTGGAACAACTTGACAGATTGTATGTGGCTGATCGTGAAAATAGAAGGTGAGTTCTCTTAAATGATTTGTCTAAATAATGTATTTATGTGGCTTATTAGAAATATATGCATCAAAACGTATATGCGGTGCGGAAATTGTGTATTTAGCAAAAATGATTAAAATCCAAAAACCTTGTCTACCTGTCAACTTAGAAAAACACACTTGAAAGTCATTAATATTTCACAAGAAAGCAAAAGATAATTCCGTCAATATTTATGAAAAAAAATTGTAAATCAAACATTAACCATATCAACTACGTTTTCTTTTTTGTATCGATGCGGTCGTAGAATATTTTCCAAGTTTTTTCAGAGTGATAATCAAGATACATATCTTTATTTATAAGTGTATCATAAATACGTCTTCGATTGTTTTTTTCTTTTCTTTTTTTATCTTAATATAGTGATTTATTTTTTCATCCAGGATCTTGTGTTTTAAGGCTGGTCTGAAGAATGAACACGAAGCAGGTGAATTTGTGTCTTCTTTCGCCAAACGAAGACTTGGTCGCATTTTTGCCCTGAAATACGATCCTAACAGTAAGTATAACAATCACATGATATTTTCGTTTTTAATTCACGACAGAAAGAAAGTGAGAAACCGGAAGACAGAGAAAGGAGAGAAATAAAGAAAAAAAGATCTCGTCTAATTTGAGAACGATGTGATAAAAAAATTTCATATTTGGATTATTTACATCAGTAATAAAATAAAAGTTAGCGCGTACATCTCTCTTGAAGTTGCTGAGATCGTCATTAACATATTTACTTTTATTTGTTCATACAATTTAGGGAGTTTTTTTTTTTGTTTTTTTTTCAGGATTGCAATACAATAAACCTATAGCCACCAATCTCTCTTTACCGCTGAAAACGCGTACCAAATTGCAATGTGAATATAGTGATACATCTAATTAATTTGCTAGACGTCTTGTATATTGAATTTGATTTACATTACAATAACATCATATAACAATGTTATTTCTTAGTTTGTTGTCCGTGAATTTTGTAATGAAAACCTATTTTACAACATCAGAGGTATTGTCTTTGAAGTTTTTCTCAGTGTTGTTGATTAAAATAATGCAGTAACAAAAGGGGTGCAATTTGAGATTTTCTTTCATTTGATCTCAGCATTAGTCAAAGGGTGTCTGGGACATATAGTGAAGAAAAAAGGCTTGGGGAATCTAAAACTTACAGAGCACTGAAATAAAAAAAAACAGGGGGAAATAGTGAGTAACCTACTTAACGGACTTGTGTGAACGGCTGACAAATAAGGACAAAAAGTGATAATAATCGTCAAAAGTTAACACAATAAAAGTGTGGAAGTTTTAGAGAACCATGATCGTCTACCTCCGAGTGACACAGCACATCAAAAGTCACTAGAGGAAATAAACTTACATTTGATCGCATGCGACTCCAGAGGTGCAGTTGCTTCTACGTTGAGATGATATCGCCTGCTACGAACTTTATCCTGTTACCCTGCTTGTTTTCACACCCTCCCCCACAAAACCTTCGAGAGGGAATGTCTATTGGAAGTTTTTTTTATTATTGGCATGTTGTGAATATGGATTATCTCCTCTTAGATAATCCAAGCTATAAAAGCTGTATACTTCCGCTGTCAAGTCAGATGAGTAGTAGTATTACCCGAAGGCGCAAACGGCTTTAGAAGATAAAGTTGATCGGGCCGTGAAATCCCGTGTTAGTGGGGACATAGTCGTAGCTAAGGCAGAGTTGGCCTCCTTGCTTATCAAGAAGGATCAAGCTCTGGTAGTTAGGGCTAGGCTAAAAAGAATGTCTTCTGAGGCGACGAACATGACCGCTGAACTGCGTACAGAGGAGAATAGGAACGCGTCTAAGCGACATATAGCGAGCGTCACATTGCCGGATAAGCGGACCGTGACTACAAACGCGGGCATATGCGAGGCATTTCGTGATTACTTTCAGGATCTTTTCACCAGGGGAGCCCGGTCTGAGCTCTGCTCAGTTCGACGCCTGTTGGCTGACTTTCCCTGCCTTGAGGCAGCTGAAGCGGCTAGGTGCGAGGGTCCCAGAGTTGGAATGGGAAGCGCTGAAGCAGGTTGGCCTGGATAAGTCTCCGGGACTAGATGGTCTTCCCTACGAAGTGTACTTGAGACTGTCGCCCGTTTTTGTTCCTTTGCTGCAGCTGATTTTCAACCACTGGATGAGGCAGGGGTCTTTACCTCAACGCTTCACCAGGGGTGTGATCAAGTTGCTGCGTAAGGACAAGAACGGTGGGGATGGATTAGGGAACTTTCGCCCTTTAACGATGTTAAATACGGTCTTAAAGATTTTGGCGAAGATCTTAGCCAACCGTCTGCAGCTTGTCCTGTCTCGTCTGATTGGCCCCGAACAGACTTGTGCTGTGAAGGGCAGGACTATTCAGGATAACCTTCACATGGTACGCTTGATCTTAGAACAAGTCGACAGTGAAGCCGCGCTGATCAATTTGGATCAGTCCAAGGCCTTCGATAGGGTTGACCATCGATTTCTGGAGGCTGTCCTTTCGGCGGCCGGTTTCGGAGCCGACTTTCGCTCCTGGATCCGACTCTTGTATGCGACCCCCGGTGCGCTGGTGGAAGGGAATGGGGTAAGATCGAAGCCTTTCGTATTGTCTCGCTCCATTCGTCAAGGTTGTCCGCTCTCACCTATGCTTTACGTTCTTGCGTTGGAACCATTCCTTCGCAAGTTAAAGGTGAATCCGGTCCTGCGCGGAATTTCGCTGCCTGGTGCTTCCACCTCGGCCAGGTATTCAGCCTATGCTGACGACGTTTCGGTTCTTGTGTCGAGCAGAGCCGAGATTAACGAAGTCAGCAAGGAGATCAGTGGGTATGAGATGGTGACAGGGGCCAAGATCAACCGCGATAAGTCTGTGGGCTTGCGGTTGGGTGCGTGGAAGGGAGTTTCTCTTCCCGGACCTTTCCTCTGGACGGATGGGCCGATCAAGATACTCGGCGTCTGGGTCGGTCCTGATCTCCAGTTGGAAATGAATTGGTCGGAGGTGCAAGGGAAGGCTGAGGTCGCGGTTAATCTGTGGTCTCGGGGGAGCCTTTCCCTGAAGGGAAGGGCGGAAGTATGTGTTTCACACATATATCCAATTCTCCTGTACCGACTCTCTGTGCTTCCACTCCCGTCTGCCCGACTAAAGTCATTAGTCAAGGTCTTGTTCTCTTTCTTGTGGAGAGGCAAGGCCAATATGTCGCGAGATCTGTTGCCTTCATCCCTCGGAGGGCGGTCTGGGTATGCCTAGCATTGAGATTCGTCAACATATGCTTCGCATTACCTTTCTAGACCGAATGTGTCGCTGGTCGAATGAGGAGGGCGCCTTTTGGAAAGAAGACGTCCAGAAACATTTCCCGTGCCTGAAAAGTGTGCACTCGTGCGAAGAAGAGGCCGGCCGTACACCACGTGCCGAGTGCTCTTTTTATCGTGAATGTCGTCGCGCTCTGAAGCTCCTCTTACGGGCTTCGGATGGCCTCTCCAACACCCAGGAGTTGTATCGCAAGGCATTATATCAAGTTTTAGTTAGGGGGTCCGTACAAGATGATCTGATTGGCGAGCTCGGTCTTACGAAGCAGGAGGCTCGCTCGATATGGCCTTGGGCGCTCGGGTTGAAATGCCTCAATAACGATGAGGCATCACTCACCTGGCTGGTGATTCGTGAAGCCCTCTGGGTCGGCAAGAGACTTTGTTCAGCAGGCTTGGAGAAATATCCAAACTGTCGTCGCTGTGCAGGAGAAGTCGAGACTATTGGTCACGCCTTCTTTCAGTGCAAGGCGGTAGTGCCGTTGTGCAGGTTTGTTGAAGGCCTCATGGTTCGCATGCTGCAGGGAAAGTTTTTTGTCCTGGAAGCCAGTTCTGTTTGTAGCAATGTGGTGCCGCAGATGACGAAGGCTGAACACTATTTGTTCTGTTGCTTACTAGGGGTTATGAGAGTCGTGATTTGGACGACGCGTCAGAAGGGATTACATAGGGGCGGGGGGTTCACTTCTTCCCGGCTGATCTTGTTCTTTAGGCATCGGCTTGGGGTCGGGATCGGGACGTGGGGTCGGCTGCTCGCCTCATCGGAGTTCAGAGGGGGGTGGGTGAATCTTGCGCCTGTGTGCCGAGTGGAGGGGGCTGGCCTTGAGTGGCATCTGGAAGCCGGTTAGGCATTAAGGATATTGTTTTCCTGGGTTCAACATGGGCAACCCATCCCGGAGTTAGGTTAGATTAGGTTTTTGTATTTTTTCTTTTAGTTTTTCTATTCTGGTAAACTTAGTTAGGGTGTATTTGCTCATTGGTCCCCTTTTTATTTCTGTCCCCATTTTCTTTTCCTTTAGTTTAACTCCCCATCCCCTCCCTCGTTTTAGGTGGTCAGTGATGGTAGGTGCAGGGCGCCTTTCGTTTTCGTGTGTGTGTTTTTCGTATTTGTTGTTGTGTATGAATGAGTTTGTGCCTGTGTGAATGCTTGTGATGAATGAGTGTGGCTTTATTTTTTTCATAAGTCCCGCATCGATTTCGTCCGGTTAACTGATATTTCTGCCACATTCAATAGTTTTGGGGGTTTTTATTACTAACACTAATTTTATTTGGTTTCTTGTAAATATATTTTGTCATTGTGTATATATTCATTGGGGATCATTTTTAGAAGTTGTTGTTTTATGCCTCCCCCACAGACAATATTTTGTACATAAGGGGATTATTTAGGTTTTTCATGGAGTCAAAGAGGCATTTTGGTGTTTGTAGTAAGAAAAGGTATGGATAAATGTGTTGTTTTGGTGAAAGGATTATTGTTCTGTATGATAGGGTCAGTGGTTGTGGCTAGCTAAGTTTTAATCTAAGACAAGTGATGACCGTCCTTTACCCCAACGCCCTTTTCGGCCTTGTGCCACATTTGTACCTAGTACAATAAATAATGATGAGTAGTAGTATTGGTTTGTTACTGGTTATTTTTGGACTATTGCTGACTACTTCCCGTTTTTGTGTGATTTTACCTGTTGACCTTGTGAACTGCATTTTTGTTTAAAGTTTGTTAATTTTTTTTGTACATTTACGACCTTATCGTAAAAGTTTTTGATTTTTTCTTTCTACTCTCCAATTTTATTCCCCCCCTCTTTTAATTTTTGCTCTTTATTCTGTTTATTCTAGTTTTCCTATTTGATTTTTTAGCCTTACTGACTCCCCACCAAATGGAAAAATGTAAAGAACACTGGAAAAACTAAATAAAAAAATTAATAAAAATATTTCTTGTCGATCATATTTAACAAAAGATTGCTAATTAATATTTATAAGTGTGTTTATTTAGGCAAAAGTTTTCAAGTAGGATGGGGCTCTGTGAAATGCAGCAAAAGATTTGAAAATGACAGGTCTAACTAGAATTTAACCATCTCCCACTAAATGGGATTGTTCCATATTTTGATACTGAAGGACATGTTCTGCATTAAATAGTTGTGCTGCATTTTGAGAATCAATGATACTTTTTAAAAAATTACATAATACAATTTTAAATGAATGTCTAAAAATATTTAAGATTAGTTAAAAGCAAC